AAGACTGAAGGCAGGAGAAGGGAGAGACAGAGGATGAGATGGCTGGATGGCGTCACTGACTCAATAGACATGAGTCTGAGCAAACTGTGGGAGATAGTGAAGAACAGGGAAGCCTGGAAGGCTGTAATCATGAGGTCACAGAGTCAGACACAACTGAGCAAACTGAAAAATAACAAGCCTTGAATTGATCCAGCAATTCCACTTATTATTTACTATGGGAAATAATATCTGTTCACATAAACACTTGAACACGAACATTCATAGAGACTTTATTCATAATAGCTAAACACTGGAAATAACCTGAATCCTCATCAACTGGTAAGTCAATATACAAACTGTGTTGTTGATATAATGGAATATTACTCAGCAATAAAAATGAATTACTGACAGAAACAATGTGGGTGAATCTCTCTCTCTCTCTTACACACACATACACACAAACATTAAAGTACATGAAAAAAGGAAGGTGCAAAAGAGTGGCTACTGTATGATTTCATTTATATGAAATCTAAGAAAGACATAACTAGTACATGATGAAAAAACAGATCCATCATTGCTTAGGCTGTATGGGGCTGTGAATATTGACTGCCAAGGGACATAAGGGCATAATTGGGGTGGGGGGGGCATCGATAATAATGACACTTGTTACTTGGGCATATGCATTTGTCAAAACTTACCAAACTATACACTTAAAATGTATTCAATTACATCTCTGATTTTTTTTTTTACATCTCTGATTTTTAAAAACAAAATATATCTGTATATATTTATTTTAGATGTCCAGAAAGACACATTCAAAATTATAAAATAACAGTATTTCAAAGGTAACATTCAAAACATTTAACAATTGAGAATTACAAGCACCAACTAGTCAGATGACAGCAAGAACAACTGGTATAGTCAATCTAGGTGAATGAGACATGTATTAGCCCAGGAAAACAATAGTTATCAATAGATGGTGAGATTATTGATGTCCTGTTTCTTCTTTTGCTTATTCTCTAATTTTCTATTCTGTATTTTAATCAGGTACTTTAAAGTCAGGGGGGAAAATCTATTTTTAATTATAAAAAAGAAAAATGGTATACCTGTTGATATCACATTTCATACTGTTATAAAATTCTAATGGGTCTCAAAACCCTAATGGAACTTTTAAATAATAGATATGAGAAATGGTATACTAAAACAGCATTGAATTAGAAGTTAAAAATGGATAATGCCATAAAAATATTTTGTATCTACTACAAAGAAATAGTGAGATATATTTTTAAACTATTTTACCATTTTAATATTCTAAAATGCCCTCCCCTTGCTCCTATTACAACTAGGTCTCTATACAATTATGAGAGAGAATGTTCTGCGTGTAGTTTCTCAGTTGTGTCCGACTCTTTGCAACCTCATAGACTGTAGCCCACCAGGCTCCTTTGTCCATGTGGATTCTCCAGGCAAGAATACCGGAGTGGGTTGCCATGCCCTTCTCCAGGGGATCTTCCGTTTTCGCATTGCAGGTAGATTCTTTATTGTCCGAGTCACCAAGAAAGCCCAAGAATACTGGACTGGGTAGCCTATCCCTTCTCCAGGGGAGCTTCCCGATCCAGGAATCAAACCAGGATCTCCTGCATTGCAGGAGGATTCTTTACCAGCTGAGCTACCAGGGAAGCCCATGGGAGAGAATATCTTTCCTCAAATTGTCTAGGCTCTGCAATGCCATTCCGCTCTAAAGTCATGACATAGTATTTTCTGATGGGTATCTTGCCCTAGGTCAAACTTCAGAATCTGGTTGAGCAAACCAGGAAACCAAACAACAGTTATCAACCCTGGATAAATTTTTATAGCAAAATTATAGCCCATCACAAGGAGAGTTGCTGCCGTCTCCTCCTAGCATGGCCACTTCTATCTCTATGGCTTATCACAGCAGCAAACCTTTGCTCTGAGCAATTTCTTCAGAGGTAAGCACAATAAAATCCTGGCTATAAGAGCAGTTGCTGAGAAGCTATGATCAGCAAATAATGACCAGGGAGTCCCCTTTATCACGTCTCTCTCCATCAACAGAGAAACAATACCAGCTCCCCATCAGCCCAGTGGAGAGTCAGTGACTGGTTTAGCAACAGGACTCCTTTCTGAAATGCTCAAAACCCCAGGGTAAACATGACGCTACTGTATAACCTCCTAACGTTGCTTTACAGTGCAGCTCAAATTTGTGATTTTAAAAGCACCTTAGCCTACTGCGAGTTCACAGTTATCTTTAATGATCTGCAAATCTCAGTGTTTTTAATAGCTCATTTTCGTACTGTGGCTACAGTGGCAACACCTGTACCTAAATACTTATTGCTTATAATACCCTGGGCTGTCAGGATGTATAGTAAATGGAAGGCAGCAGCAGTATCTCCCACCTTTTTCTAGCCTTAATTTACTCTTCCTCCTCTTGAACATCAGCACAGTGAGCTTACTCCCAGAGCCTATGTGATCTCGGCTGATGGGACCAAGATCAGAGGTCATCAGCAGTGGCTGACCACCCTTCTCCATTACATGGATAGAAACAAGAAGAAGATGGCAGCAAGAGGCCACCAGGGTCTTTCCCTCTGGAAGCTCTGACTTCTGAAAGTGAAGGATCTATCCCCAGATCAAAACTACAAGGAAAATAAACAGATGTTTTCATGAAGTCCCCAATACGGCATTTCTGCAAGATACTAAACTATAAATTACATGAGCAAATATAACTTCCTCCAGACAGTTTAATGCATTCACCCTCTAAACAAAGAATCATCTTTATAACTGATATAATAAAGTATAACGTAACAACTATTATTCTCAAATTTCAAAACTTAAGATATTTCTTATGTAATGATAATGGTAGATACTTACTGAACAATTACTATGTGCCTGACATTGCTCTAAGCATTAACTCATATCATCTTCAACTCAGTTTTTAAAATGAGCTGGGATTTGAACCTGGCATGTCTCCAGAGTCTCTGCCATACTGCGATAGATCAAGAATCACAGACCCCATGTCCCTAAAGAAAGTGAAAGTGAAAGTCACAGCTGTGTCTGACTCTCTGCGACCCCATGGACTACACATACAGTTCATGGAATTCTCCAGGCCAGAATACTGGAGTGGGTAGCCATTCCATTCTCCAGGGGATCTTCCCAACCTAGGGATTGAGCACAGGTCTCCTGCATTGCAGGTGGATTCTCTACCAGCTAAGCCACAAGGGAAGCCCTGTCCCTAGAGAAGTGAACCTAATATAAAGCCTCCCAAGGGCTCAGAAGGAAGTTGGTTATGGCTATACTTCAAAATGTCCCTGAATAGCTGGAAAACCCTCCAATGCTGTACATGTCATAACTGCCTTGCCTCACCTTATATGCAAAAGTCTTCTGTCTAAACAGAACACAAGTAAGTCCCCTACACATGAACAAGTTCTGTTCTGAGGGCACATATGTAAGTCCAATGTGTTTGTAAGTCCAACAAAGTTAGCCTAGGTGCCCAACTAACACAATTGGCTATGTGATACCGTACTGTAGTAGGTTTATAATACTTTTCACCCAAATAATACATAGAAAACAAACACCAAAAATAAAGAAAACATTTTTAATCTTACAGTACAGTACCTTGAAAAGTACAGTAGTACAGTACAACAGATGGCATACAGGGGCTGGCATCAAGTGAAGAGGCAAGAAGAGTTACTAACTGGAGCTGGGAGATGGTCAAGCTGAAGGATTGACAGCAATAGGAGACAGAGGACAAGCTGCAATTTTACTCATGTCTGATGCTAATGGAACCCATGTTCACATCTTTGAAAGTTCACAACTTGAGGGTGTGTACACAGGGGACTTAGCATACGGTTGGTTGGCTCTGAGGGAAGACAGCATCTGTTATTTTCAAAAATAGAAATGCCCCTATCGTGATTCTTTAGGTTTAAGGTTTTCTAAGCAAATTCTCTCATGGATGTAACCATCCTCATGCTCCCACGTGGTATACAAATTGATGATGATCACAGCTCATCACAGGGTCACCAGCTACCCTGGAGGTTGATTGCCATCTGCAGATCTCAATTGGGATCATGCAGGAGAAGCAGCAGAGGATGATGCTGCCTGACTCAGTTCCCTAGTACTTAACCACTTCTGCTTCCAACAGTCAGCAACTGCCACCTCTTTGTCTAAGATCTGCTTTGCCTACCAGCAGGGAAGACCAAAAGAACCCCTCCAGAGCAGTCCTTGGTCAGTGACTGGAAGCCTGACGGTATAAACATACAGCTCCCTCACCCTGATGGGACCAACTCCAAGATGTGATTACATTGTTTTCAGAGACCCCTGCAAGGTCCAGTGAAAGTCTGCAACTGCAGAACTTGACTTCATGCCTTAGCCTGGTGTCCTACATCCCCACTCTTAGGGTGTTTCCTGGGATCACTGCAGAATCAATCACTTTCATGGCCATCATTGCCTTGGGTCTACTTCTGGTGGTGAACCAAGAGGGACAGAAGAACATGATTTTCAATGCCTCTAAACTCCCACCTCTCTGGATAATCTAAACAAACATCTTGGGATCCTTAAGTCTCCTGCTCATGATGAATGAAATGAAGTTATCCACTTATACTATCCTTGCTTATCCATGAGCTACTTACTCCTCAATCATTTTTTAAAAAATTACAGAGGTCCAGTTATTGTGAGAAAGATGGCCAGAGTGTCCCACACCAATATTACTGAGTGAACACTCTAACAGGGGAACTTTGAACTGATGCCCACCTAACTGTGGTTTCAAAATAAAGAAAATACAGTGGATTTAGTGATTCAAAATGCTGGCCTTCAGCCTGGAAACCAAACAGATCTCTGTCCCTTGTAACTCTGCTCTCCAAATGTGAGGACAGATCTTCAGAGGATACCAGCCCAAACCCCTCAATTTACAGTCTTGGTCCTCTGAGTCACATCTTTGTGTTAAAAATTTCTCACAGTAGTTTTAAGCTTTACATATTTTACCAAAACAAAGATTGCGGTCTCTACAAGGGTTTTTTTTATTTTTTATGATGAAGTATTTATTAGTATGTCTTTTTGGAATAGGTTTTCATACTCCAGGCCTGAAAAGAAATTCCACATAGAAATCACTCTCAAAACACTTTTTAAATAGTTTAGAGTGTGTCCACCTTTCTTATCTCATCAATGACTTGTTAATGAGGAATAATTAAAATATATTCTTATTAATAAGAACGCACTGCATTTCAAAAAAAAATTTTTTTATCTATGCACCAGTGTCTGTCAGAGAAATTAGGCTCCAGTTTCATCCATATGGAGTATCTAGATGTGGTGCATTGCAAAATAAATAAATGTGGTGTAACAAAAGATTTGCTTCATGTAATGGTTGAATTGATATAATTCAACCTGATTGAATAGATATAATTACACTCTGTTAATATCCATGTGGATTAAATAGAAAGTCATCACTCTTCTATGTACAGGACTATAATAGTTCTGCATTTCTTTCCATCCTGGAATCCGAGGACTGATTTCCCTAAATGTCTGTGATCCAAGGAATTTCAAAGAGATTCCTCCAAAATGTTCCAGAGTGAACTCCAATGAGTTGTTCAGAAGGACCCAGCCAACAGCTTCGAGTTATGACTTCGCCTTGGATGACTTGCTGAGGGGAAATCCACCCCCAGTAAAACGAGGGCCACTTGGTTTGGCCATTGAGAAGGTGTCCTCCATGTTTATTCTGTCCTTGTTTCTATAAGAGAGAGGTGAGAGTTAACTTTCTTACCATCTTTTTCCTCTTCTAAGTTTGGTGTTAAGTTCTTAGGGTGAGTTAACCACTAAAAACTGCTTTGATCAAAGCTTCCAGTTTGAGACAAGATGGTGGTTTAAATGTAATTAGGTATTACAGATAACACATAGAATTAGGGAAAGACACAATTAAACATGCCTTCCTAATGTTGATCTAAATACAGACAGAAGGCCTCATTATAGCTTAAGCGCTGGGGCCGAGAGGCTCCTGACTTGTAATCATCTTCCTATTTTATAAAGCATTTGTTTAGTTCCAAAGATCAGTTAAAGGAATTTTTCTCTTGGCTCAATCATAATGACTAATTCATCATTTATCAACTTTTATATTCCAAAGTTTCAGTGGAAGCTTATATTTATCATACACACACATACACACACAGGGCATTTTCATCAAACTTGGACATTAATAAAATACAAATTTTCCTATAACTTTAGATGAGCAGCAGTTATTATTAGAAATAGTTTAAAACACAGAAAAGGCTGGGAAATATAAATAAGATAGTACATTTGGCAACAGATAAAGGAAGAAACTCCATAAAATCTACAATATATCTTCTATATAGATCTTGTTTAAATGACCCCCCCCACACACACACACACACATATTCAGGTTTCCTGTAGAAGTATCTTAAATTTATATAGATTACCTATTATATAATTACAGCCTTATAGAAAACATCTTTGGAGTTTCTTTTTCAAAATAAAAATTGAGCAAACTACTAAGATTAAAACCAATTAGATCTGACTACTAGAAATGAGTTACTTCAGAGAAGAGAACTCTACTTTTTGCAAAACAATCTGACTTGTACTGCAGACTCCAGGCCAGCCTGGGGTATAGAGTAGGGGAGTCAAGAACAGGTGGGTGGGGGTATATAGGTCAGGATTGGAGCATGATAAAAATGGTGTTTGAGAAAAATGAAAAAAAAAAAAAAGCAGAAAGGTAAAAATGATATGAGTTGATATTTTATAAAGAGTATGTGTGAGAAGAATATCTGCAGAGATTATTCTAAATTATTCCATTTGGAAAGAATCTGTAGAGGACTGGTTCATCAATTCAGCTGTCTCTTAGCAGAATTGATTTCATTATTATAAAAACCATCCTCCATAAATAGGACAAAAGCTTTAGCCTTGAGTGGATCCAGCAAAGAAGACACCTTCAAGTACTCTGACAACTTGTCTACCTCCTGACTGTTGTTAGATGCAGGCAAGGCCCCCCTCCTCCTGCCCTCTCTTGCCTCAAATAACCTAAATTTTCCTCTCCAAAGGAACTTAAGCTTAATGCTTCTGGCCTGATCTAAGCCGACTAACGGGAATAATGTCTCCTTTACATGATCTTTTTAATGTATTTATAGACCATCCTAATGACTCCCTTCAGCCTTCTTCCTTTCAGTCTAAACTGTCTCAGCACTTTTGTTCTTGCCTGGTCATATTTTCCCTCAGTTCCTTAATCTTTTTTTTTTTTTTTCCCTGCTGTTCTCCTGAGAACTCATATTTTTCTGTCTCCCTCCAGTTTATGGATCCCAACTAAATGGAACCACCATTGACGCCCTCTGGAGAGGTCAGTCACAAGAAATAAGCATCAAGGCAAAAGCAGAGAGCCTAGAGCAGGGTACTAGAACTTTCCATGATGGTAGAAAAGCCCTGTACCTGGCCTGCCAGATGCAGCATCCACTAGCCACTAGCCACATACAGCTACTAAGTAGGTGAAATGTGACTACTGCAGTTAAGGAACTGAATTTCTAATTTGATTTAATTGTAATTCAATTTAATTTAAATAGCCACAAGTGGCACACTGCCTGGGGCAGTGCAGTTCTAGTAGATGGGCCCCTGGGAGGGGCTGAGCTATCAGACTTTATTTTGTGACTTGATGGACATGAGTTTGAGCAAGCTCTGGGAGGTGGTGATGGACAGGGAAGCCTGGCATGCTTGCAGTCCATGGGGTCGGAAAGATTTGGACATGACTGAGCAACTGAACTGAACCGAGCTATCAGAGGGGCGTCCTTCTGTCAGTCAGTATGTTCTCTTTGTCCAGAAAACTGTGTGTATGTGTGGTGGGAGGATCAAAAGGCCAAAGGAAACTAAGAACTGTCATTTAAATGTGGAATGAGGGGATGTTCTGACTTATAAAAAGGGTGGATTTTTACTGGCAAATGAATTTGCATCTAGCTACTTTAAATAGCTATTTGCCACTAATGAATCATAGTGGATGCATTCAGACCCTCTTTCACCATGTCCTTGAAACGTCCATGTGGATGACACATCAAGCCTGACTTTCAACTCACAGTGTGAGCCTCTGCAGAATGAACTCTATGACTTGGGCAATGCCATACAGCCAAGGTTCAAGCCTACAGATTCACCTGGTCCCCTCATTCACCCCAGGATTCGGAAAACAATAACAAAGTGAAGAGAACATTTGTTCTTGGGCATATAGCCATCCTGAAACCCAAAATGTTCACCTGACATGTGCAATATCATCTCCCAGAAGAAAGGCGTCCCATGCTGACACCCTACATCAGATAAAGAAGTCAGGCACTAGACATAGAAAGGGTTCAGAAACAGTTTATCTAAAACATAGGTGAAAATTGTGTGTGTGAACTTCTCATAATTACAGTGGTCCAGCTATGTTATTAGAAGGCACAGCTTCAGCAAACCCAGGCCTCTTAACAAAATTATCTTTGGTTTTAAATGTGAGTATGCTTCAGCCCATACCACATTGACTGTGAAACTCCTTTGCAGGCACAGTCCTGACATGATCAGCCCCAAACCATGAGAACAATGTAGGGGAAAATATCACACTAGGTTTCCTCTGCTTCACAGGAGGTCCACCAGAGAGCTGATATTAATGGATCCCTGTTACGGTCCTAAGGAGGGGTCTCAATGTCAGACAAGACACCCATCGTGCTCTGACAACCCACTGAGTGACCCTGCAGAATGCCATTTGCTCACCCCTGACCTAGTTTACCCCAGTAAGGTCTGTGACTCTGTAGCTGTCCACAACTATTTTTCTCATCTGCAGTTAAAAGGCACAACAAAACTAGAACATTTGACTAATTCTTACTTCTGAATGTATTCTTTACGTTTCTGAGCAAGGTACTTCTTCTTTAAATTCAGCAGTTCGTGGGTAAGTTTTTCGATCTCGTACTTGTATTCCTGGCTCTGTGACTCATACATATTCAATTCTGAAGACAAAACCTAGTATGACAAATAAAGCAGCATTAACAGAAGATACATGGTGAGACAATATCCTTTCCTGAATAATCTTTTTAATCTGCTGCCACTTACCTTGGTGAGGCTAGAAATACAAAACCATGCCCAGGTTTAACGGTTAATCTGCACACTTCTACCAGTTCAAGGTCTGTATCTGGGTAAAAATCTGATGGACGTTCTGAAGACTCATATCCAATGACCAACTTAATGAAACCTCATTCCCCTGCTTAAAAGGAGAGCTATCAGACACATGCAAACAGGCTTACATATGAATGGTGTAATGCACTCAAGAATATTGAGAGTCAAAAGAGAAAAACTCCCAGACATATACTATAAAATTGCTTCTTAAAGCCTTTTTTAAAATGTTCAGAAAAGTCATTACTAGGCAGTGTGATTCATCTGAGGATTATTGTAAAAACTATTCAGAATCATCCTGCCACCAGCACCATTAAGTAGGCATTCAATTTATGTGTTTTCCAAGGTTGTTGTTCTGCTGAATGTCAATCATCTCTTTACTGCACCCTTTGGGACTATTCACAGGTTGTCTCTTTACCGGAGCCCTGGGATATTTACCTCTAAGATGCAGAGGGCTATGACATATGCAAGGGAAAGGGTACTACATGTGAGGGGCTGTGTTAGGAAGCCTAATTACCTGCCTCTTGCTCTGTTGTGTTCAGTAGATGCTACTGGTTTCAGGCTGGACAAAAAAAAAAGAAGGTATTTACTCATCTAAACAAATGTGTAAAGGATGCTAGAGTGAGGGCTGCCCCCAACAAAAACCAAGCAGGGAAAAGGGAGGCTAGCATTGTCAGGGACATGCAATAGATGCAATTGTTTTTCCTCTAGCCCTCTATTTTTAAAAATTTACATAAAAGGCAATCTTTATCTTTTGAGTGTTCATCTGCTTCTGAACAGGTGTCTTAGGTGGCACTAGTGGTAAAGAAACCACCTGCCAATGCTAGGAGATATAAGGGTCATGGGTCAGGAAGATCCCCTGGAGGAGGGCATGGCAACCTGGCCGAGGATTCCTGCCTGGAGAATCCCACGGACAGAGCAGCCTGCAGACTCTGGTCCATAGGGTTGAAAGAGTCGGACACAACTGAAGCAACTTCACACACCCATACACACTGCTTCTGAATTCCTTCCACTTAACTATTGTGATTCTATCCTATCTGACTAAGGATTCTGACCATGTTATCATAAGCTAGAGAGAATGATTTTCATGTTGGAAGAAAATTTGCCCTAATAGTTAAACTGTTGAAGCTGAAACTCCAATCCTTTGGCCACCTGATGCGAAGAGCTGACTCATTTGAGAAGACCCTGATGCTGGGAAAGAGTGAGGGCAGGAGGAGAAGGGGACGGCAGAGGATGAGATGGTTGGATGGCATCACCGACTCAATGGACGTGGGTTTTGGGTAGACTCCAGCAGTTGGTGATGGATAGGGAGGTCTGGCGTGCTATGGTTCTTGGGGTCGCAAAGAGTTGGACACAACTGAGTGACTGAACCGAACTGAACTTAGGAGCAAAGATCTTGTTTCCAAATAATGAATGTGGAATTTCTCAACAGAGTCCAGATCATGAGGACAAATTGACGGGCAGGCTTGGTACTATGCACCGCTGAATCTTCCACTAGGGGTCACATGTCATTCAGAGAAAAATATCTGGATACCCTGCGATAAAGGGTTAAGGTGACAAAATCTTTCTATGAACCACTGAATGCAATCCATTGCTAAGAGTGCCTATCTGACAGTAGTGTAAAGAGAGACATGTGTTTTTCTAATCTATACCCAACTCCTGAGAAAATAAGTTTTTATTTTGCTTGTTATATTCAATTGTTTAAAGGGGTGAAAATAATCAAAAGATTATGCCTCTTGCAAAACTCATGTCTCAGGATACTCATGTAAAACGAATACTTAGACTGGTAAGTTGAAAATTAATGCTTTCATTACACTCCCGTTTCATCTGCCTTTTTAAAGTAAAAGGATGTGATTTTACAACATTCTCTTTGTGAAAGGATTAGTACCATATTAGTCTCGCAGCATCTATTCTACCCCAGGCAGAAAGGCAATGACTATTACCATCGTTGCGCAGGTAAGTGCCAGAATTCAGCTAGCATATGCTACAGCCTGTGCATGTGTGTGTGTACAAGGCTTCCCTAGCATGCCAAGAATATCTAAGTACTTTTTTAGGGGGTAAAGCTGAAAATAGAGTGAGAACACACCGTTTTTGAGAAAACTTTAAAATGTGTAATGGTAAAACATTCCATCGCCACAGCTACGGTTCTTGCGTCACTTAGAAGGGAACTTACGCTAACAGAATCCTAAAATGATTTGACTTTACATTCATGACCACTTATTTAGATAGCCCTGAAGCAAGGCCCTTGGGGACTGGGGAGTGGCCTGTGCTTTGTATACATTTATTTCAGGTGGAATGAATAGTAAAAACCTGCTCTGACACGGTGGTCTGCTTTAGTGGGCCAGAGTGTTAAAATATTTCCTCTGTTCTTCCCCACCATCCAAATCTTCCAAATCACATTGAGATAATCCACACAAACCCTATTCCCCAAATTTCCATTCCATTGCCATCATCCTCTCTCCAACTGTTTCTCCACTTGTTCATCTGCCTGTTTTGTGGGAGTCTATTAGTCTAGGAGCAGAGGGGTAGCTTTGAGGCTTGCCCTGGGACTGGAGCACTAAAAAAGCTGATTTCAATGGAGAGCAGCCTTTGGGAGACTGGCTTCTCGTGCCGCGGCACGAGACTTGTCCAGGGGTGTTCCCAGAGCGCGGCCATCCTTCAGCCAGGAAGGCGCAGAGGCTACCACTTACTTTAAGCTGCTTGGTCTTCTCCCGCAGTGTGTGGCGATAGATCTGCAGCTGCTCCGCAGCCTCGGGCCCAGGCTGCCGAGCCAGGATGTGCTTTAGTTCCACATACAGTTTCTCCTTTTCCTGGTGGAGAGCATAACCACAAGTGGAGATAAACAGTCCCATCAAGACAAGGGCAATGACTTTAACAGCATGGTCAGGATGATTCGGGATCATCCTAAGGTCCTTCTCAGCTCCACACTGATTACGTTCACTTGTAGATTCATCCAGTCAAGCAACAGGCCACAGAGGGCCCTGGCCCTGCCCATCGGCTGGTCGGCAGCAGCCTCGCGATCCCCAGGCTTGCAGCCCACCACACGGAAAGCCTGCCCTCCAGGGAACTGGCAGTCACTGCATGAGGAGTGGCCTCACAGTCAGCCTGGCCAGGGACCACCCCACCTGCCAGCGGCCCACAGCCGCCAGCCCTGCCACCCAGGAGGACACGCGCAGTCCCCGTGGGGGCACCATTAGCGCACACAGCTCTGGGGACCAGAGGGGAGCGTGTTGGTCCAAACGGGATCTCCTACAGAAGGCAATTCTCCCAAGACTGGAAAAGGTAGAACCAAACACAGAGAACTGAGCAAAATGGGAAGACAGAGGAATATATTCCAAATGGAAGAACAAGACATAACCTCAGAAACATGACTAAAGGAAGTGGAGATAAGCAATCTATTCAACAAAGGACTCAAGGTAATAATCATAAAGATCCTCACTGAACTTGATAGAAGAATGGATGAATGCGGTAAGAATTTCAACAAAGCATTAGAGAATATAAAGAAGAACCAAACACAGATAGAGAATACATTAACTGGGATTTTTTTAAAAAAAACACCATAAGGAATCAACAGCAGATTAGATGATACATAGGAATGATAAACTGGAAGACAGAGTAGTAGAAATTACCAAAGCTAAAAAGAAAAAAATGAATTTTTTAAAAAAATGAGTACTAGTTTAAGAGAACTTTGGTATAACAACAAGTGTAATAACATTTGCATTATAGGGGTCCCAAGTAGGAGAAGTGAGAAAGGGATAGAGAAAATATTTGAACAAATAATAGCTGAAAACTTCCCAACCTGGGAAAGAAAACAGATAGCCAGGTCCAGGAAGCACAGGGAGTAGTATCAAACAGAATCAATCTTAACAGCACCACAGCAAGATACACTGTAAGTAAAATGGCAAAAATTAAAGATAATAGGAATATATTAAGAGCAGCAAGAAAAAAGCAACTAGTTATATACATAGGAACTTCCATAAGATTATCAGCTGACTTTTCAGAAGAAAAGGGAGTGACACAATATATTCAAAGTGATGAAAGGATAAAACTTACAACCAAGAATTATCTACCCAGAAAGGTTATCATTTAGATTAGAAGGAGAGATAGTGAAAAACCCATGTTGGTACAGTCAATTAAACTATGACAAAGGAGGCAAGGATATACAATGGGGAAAAGACATCCTCTTCAATAAATGGTGCTGGAAAAACTGGACAGGGTGCATGCAAAACTATCAAACTAAACTAGTTTCTCACACCATATACAAAAATAAGCTAGAAATGGATTAAAGACTTACATGTAAGACCTAAAGCCATAAAAATTCCTAGAAGAAAACAGGCAGTAAATTCTTTGACATCAGTCTTTACAAACATTTTTTTTTGGGGGGGGGGGGG